TTGTTTAATAATATGTATACATATATATATATATATACCTGTATATATATATATATATATTGTACTTCGTAGCTATAAATGTTATGTGTATATTGGCTGGATCTGCATAATTTATATGTCTCGTTTGGTCGGAGACTGTTTGACATGCTCTCAGATATTTCTATTTAACTTGTTCCTTGGCATTCTCAACAGCCAAGTAGACTTTATGCAAAAGGCCTGGATCTGTCCCTTTTGTGTGTCACGTAACCAGTTCCCACCTCACTATGCGGGTATGACTGAGACCAACCTGCCAATAGAGCTCATCCCACAATTTAGTACCGTCGAGTACACGCTGCCTTCGCATTCAGGTATGGAAAGACTCTTCTCGGCATCTCATGTGATGTACGTTCTTTTGCAATGATGTGGGGTGTAGTGAAATCATGTAGGAGATCTTGGAATATTATCCTGTGGTGTGCTTGTAATATGTTGTTAGCTTTATAGTACTTTGTGTCTTGTTAGGTACATTGATCTTATACTATCATCTTAAGGTGTGCTTATAATATGTCGTTAGTTTCATAGTACTTTGTGTCTTGTTAAGTACATTGATCTTAAATTATCATCCTGTGGTGTACTTATAATATGTCGTTAGTTGTATAGTACTTTGCGTCTCGTTAAGCACATTGATCTTAAATTGTCATCCCGTGGTGTACTTATAATATGTCGCTTAGTTTCATAGTACTTTGTGTCGTGTTCAGTACATTGATCTTAAATTATCATCCTGTGGTGTACTTATGTCGTTAGTTTCATAGTACTTTGTGTCTTGTTAAGTACATTGATCTTAAATTGTCATCCTGTGGTGTACTTATAATATGTTGTTAGTTTTATAGTTTGTTGTGTTTTGTTAAGCACATCTATAGACATTTCTCTCCTAGACGGCAGCGACTGCTCGCCTGCTGAGGCAGCAAACAGTAGCGATGTCGGCATGAATACTTGTTCATCATAGATGACACATGTCTACTTATCCTCTCACCCGCCACCACACAATACTCTCCTTCAATGGGAGAGTGGTCATTTGACTCTGCTGATTATAAAAGAAGTGACAAGTCTATACGTCGAATATCTGCCAACGGAACTCTCTAGGAGCGCTTGCCTTGGTAGAACTCTTGCTGGAGATTATATCACCTCACTTTGTGATATGTGTTATCGACTTTGTGAGCCATGGAAATCGAAAGCTATGGATATATATAAGCTATGGATATCTAGAGGCTTGCCCAGTCACTTGTTACCGACACTTCAAGGGTTGGTATCAACTGTGTTGCGGACACTCATGGATACTTACAATATCATGTAATATATATATGTATATA